CCCCGCCCCACCCTGCTCCCGGGGGCCTGACCAGATGCCCCAGCAAAAGCTGTCACTGCAGAAGCTTGAGTTTGGGCCAGATCTGTCGTCCGTAGCCTTCATCATAGCCACCACCGCATCTGGGGCGCCTCCCCGTTGCCGGCTGCCTCTGCGGGGCATGCCGTCTTCCCCCACCCTCCTCCGGGAGCCCTTGCCACCCCTGGGAGCCAGCTCTCACCTCCCTGCGCCTCTGTCAGCTGTGCCCTCGCCCCACTCTCTCAGGATGCGCTGGATGGGCTGATGCTGGAAGGAGAGAACATCGTGTCTGCTGCCCGGAAAGCCATCATCCGGCACGACTTCTCTGCCGTGCTCACCGTCTTCCCCATCCTGCGGCACCTCAAGCAGACCAAGCCCGAGTTTGACCAAGTGCTCCAGGTATGCGGGTAGGAAACCCCCTGGGGACATGGGGAGGAGGGATCCTGCCGCCTGGCACAGTCTCCCGAGGGAGCCGTCTTCTCTGCCCTGACACCTCTGCTCGCAGGGTGAGTGGAAGCAGCTTCAGAGGGGCCCTGGGCACATGGAGACACTCACGGGGTGACCGGACAAGAGGGGAGGCCCTGGGGTGAGGGGCAGGGAAACAGCTGGCAAGGAGCTGGGTTCCACTGCTCTGTGTTTGCGTCCTTAGGGAACGGCCGCCAGCACCAAGAATAAGCTGGCCGGCCTCATCACCTCCATGGAGACCGTGGGAGCCAAGGCACTGGAAGACTTTGCTGACAACATCAAGGTGCTCTCTGCTCTCCGCTGCTGCTGCCGCTGCCCTAGGGGCTGTGGGCAGGACCACCAGGGGCCTGCTTCCTGTCAGCACCCACTGGCCTCCCTTTCTCTCCCAGGGGGCTCCTGAGCCCCCAAGGGGTGAAGCTCCTGCCCCACTTGTCCTGTCCCGTCTTGCTCGCCTTTGTGTCTGACGGGTGTCCTGACACCTGTCTGCCAGGAGGTGGCACCAAGAGCGGGCCGCCTGGGGCCTGGGGGCGGGGTGGGGAGGGAGGCGAGGCCTTGGGAGCAGGTTCTGGAAGTTGGGCTGTTTTTTCCACAGAATGACCCGGACAAGGAATACAACATGCCCAAGGATGGCACCGTGCATGAGCTCACGAGCAACGTAGGTGCTGCCCCAGGTGGCCTGGAGAGGGAAGGGGGCCTAGGGTGGCCCAGAGCTGCATGCTGGTGGCAGGATGCATGGCAAAGTACTTGGCGTCCCCAGTAGACTAGTTCATTCGGGGCAGGAGGCTTGCGACCACCCTATTCCCTGGGCAGAACCCTGACCCTGCATTTGCCCTGGAATGGTCAGAGGGGATGCGTTTGGGAGGTACTCTGACCTTTAGGTCCTGCCCTTGACCTTCTTTCCTCCCCACACAGGCCATCCTCTTCCTACAGCAGCTCCTGGACTTCCAGGAGACGGCTGGTGCCATGCTGGCCTCCCAAGGTACTCGGTACCTCCCAGTGGGGCCCCCTACCCCATACCCCACTCCTCCCTCTGTCTGGAAACACAGGGGTTACCGGCCACCTCCGAAAGCGATTTCCTCCAGCCCTGTGGAGTGGGGTTTGACTGTGCCTTTCCTGTCCCAGCCTCCCCCCCTTCTTGCTCCTTCTGCCCTCCTGGCTCTGGAGAGTGGCACTCCCTGGGTCGGAGATGCCCTGCCTGGCTCGCCCCTCCTTCCGCGTTTCTCCACCTGCTTTTGTGTTCGCCTGTCCTCCCAGTTAGTCCCACACAGCTGACCGTTCCGTGGGCTGGCGTCTCAGGGCCGGCCTGGTGTCTACCCGCTGATCACTGCCCTGGCACTGGAGCTGGGGAGGCTGGCATTTCTGAGCACCAAGAACCAACCCGATGTGTTGGGGCCCCCGGGCCCTCCCCCTCTGTCCGTTTTCGGGGCGAGGAGCCAGGAGCGGCCTCTGGCCTGCGGTTCTCCGGACCCCCACTTCGCTGCATGCTCCCTTGCCTTCAGGGGTCCAGTGTCTGTGTTCTGGCTGTCACGGGGAGGGGTCTGCTTGACTTGGGGACACGGTTTCTAACCTGTGTTTGCACTTTGCGTCTTTCTTCCTTCTTTGTCTCTCCCCCTCCCCCTCTGAGTGCACTGCCTTTCACTCCGTAGTTCTCGGGGACACATACAATATTCCTTTAGACCCCCGAGGTAAGCAGCACCATCCTGCCCCTGTGTAGCCCCATGGGGGACAGAGGCCCCTGGACAGACTCAGGACCTACTGGGGAGTGGGGGTCGGAGGGGACATGGGTGTCTTCGGGGCGCTCCTAATGGTCTCAGCTCCCCACAGGGCCACTTTCTGTCCCTGAGCTTATTCAAGCGACACCCTGAGTGCCCCCTCCAGGCTAGCCCAGCACCTGTGCGCCCCCTCCCTCCCTGTCCACCCCCCCTCCCCCTTGGCCTTCTGCTTGTTCAGAGGGGCCGGGTGGAGGGGGTTGTGGGAAGTGGGGGAGAAGGGGCAGAGGCCGTGGGGAGCCCACAAATGGGATAGGTGGGCTTTGTAGACAGCACCCAGCATGAGTCGGGGCTGGGGGGGGGGGGCACGGGGTGTCCCACTCCTGTCCTGCCAGCCTTCCTGCTGATCACAGTCCAGCTCGTTCACCATGCCACCCTGTCACCGCAGAGGGGCTGGCCCTGGGCTCCAGGAAGAGTCTGAGGGAGGGCTCCCTGCAGCAGGCGGGAGCCCAGCGGCTGCGCAGACACCAGCTCTGCCCCGAGCGCCTCCACGCCCAGTCTACCCGAGGAAGGCTCGGGGCCCCTCCCAGGGTTTCCACAGTGGCTCCTGGGGCCGAGGGAAGGCCGGAGAGGGTCCTGGCTGCTGCCACCAGTGCAGTAACTGCCCTTCTCCTCTCCCAGAGACCAGTTCCTCAGCCACCAGCTACAGCTCTGAGTTCAGCAAGCGCCTGCTGAGCACGTATATCTGTGAGTGGGGTCTGGCTGGCCAGGAGCCCCCCGCCCCCATATCCGCCGCCTCTTCCTTCTTTCGTGCTCTCCTGCTACTGCCGGTCCACTCCTGGGCACCCTTAGCCTTTGGGATCGTAACCCAACCTCCGATTTAGGGGCAGAGGGGCCGGGCGGGCAGGGGGCCCCCGATGCTTGTGGAGTCAAGTTGGGAGGGACAAGGACGAGGGGTAGGAGCCGGTTCGCGGCCCAGGGGTTGGGTCGTTTTGGTCAGACTGCCATGGTGGATGTAGCCACGTCCTTCCCTGTGCAGGTAAAGTCCTGGGCAACCTGCAGTTGAACTTGCTGAGCAAGTCCAAGGTGTATGAGGACCCGGCTCTGAGCGCCATCTTCCTGCACAACAACTACAACTACATCCTCAAGGCCCTGGAGAAGTGAGTGGCGGCGGGTGCCGGTGTATATCTCTCCCCGGTCCCCTGCCCACCCTCGCGGGGCAGCCTGTGCCCTCTGCCTGGACAGGCAGGGAGGCAGGGCCTTACCCCTTGTGGGCCCAGGACCTGGAGTGGTGTGAGACACGCCCCACCGGTGCTGCCGCGGAGGCCGGCCACCTTTGGGCCCTGAGAGCCGATCCCGTCCCCTCTGCTCTCTCCCTGCTCCTGCCCCAGATCCGAGCTGATCCAGCTGGTGGCCGTGACCCAGAAGACTGCCGAGCGCTCCTACCGGGAGCACATCGAGCAGCAGATCCAGACCTACCAGCGCAGGTGGGCTCCCCCCCGCCCCCCGGGCCCTCCTCTTACCCCCTCTTCCTATCCGAGCTTCAGGCAGAGTGGGGTCAGTCACGGGGATGCGCTCCCCTGTGGACCCAGTCCCAGTCCGCCACTTGCTATTTAACCACACTGGCAGGGTGGAGAGGGAAGCCGCCTCCCCTACCGCAGCCCTTGTCCTCGGGGCTGCTGTGGCCAGCCTCCCCGGAGGGTGGGCTGCCAGGGCTGCAGGCTAAGAAGGATCGAAAGGGGATGTGAGGCCAGGCAAAGAGCGAGTTTGCGAGAGCTCTTGAACTGGCGGAGCCTCGCTCTGCGGCACCCCTTCTGCTCCTCCTCCCTGCTCCTCTTGGTTTGCGGGTCTCCTTTTGCGCGTTTCTTTCCGTGAGCGGTCTCCCTCCTTCCTTTGTCCTCTGCTTCTTCCTTTCTTTCTCCTCTGCTTCTCCACCCTTATGCTCCGTGAAATCGATGTGAGCGTAGCTGGTTGTATCTGTTCAACGTATTGAATTCCGTTTCTTGTTCTTAAAAGCAAGCAGCTTGAGCGTTTTCTTTTTCCAAGGAAAAATCTCAGTTGTGTTCTGCTTAGTTGTGACCCCAATTGATTGCTGACCTCCCCCTCACTCAGTAGATCAAGAGATTTAAAAAGCAAAACAAACCAGGGGCGCCTGGGTGGCTCAGTCAGTTAAGCATCCGACTTCGGCTCAGGTCATGATTTTACGGCTCGTGGGTTCAAGCCCTGCCTCGGACTCTGTGCTGACAGCTTACACTCTGTCTCTCTCTCAAATATGAATGAACATTAAACACACACACACACACACACACACACACACACACACACACACACCCCAAACCAGCCCCTGGGAAGCAGCAGCAGCCTGAAGCTATCCCTTCTCTGCCTTCTGCTTCTCTCCCCTCCTGGCAGCTGGTTAAAGGTGACTGACTACATCTCTGAGAAGAATCTACCTGTATTCCAACCAGGAGTCAAGGTGGGTGGAAGGCCCGGGCTGGGAAGGGTTGTCCAGCAGATGTGATACTTGTTGTCACGTCTCTGGGTGAAAAATGGACAAGCATTCCGCCGGGACGAGCAAAGGGCAGCGGGAGAAAGGGCCAGGCTCAGGTGTCTGGGGAAGGAGCCAGTGGCAGGGCGGCTCTGCTCTGAGGGACGCTTTCTCTGCCCTCTCTCGCCACCCCCAGCTGAGGGACAAGGAGCGGCAGATGATCAAGGAGCGGTTCAAGGTGAGCTGGGGTCCTCCCCCCTCCACTGCTTCCCGCTGCTGTGGCAGGGACACAGACCCAGAGTCTTTGTGTTTGGGTCGCTTCTATTTCCACCTTTTTGCTGGCCAGGGCTTCAACGATGGCCTTGAAGAATTGTGCAAAATCCAGAAGGCCTGGGCTATTCCTGACACGGAGCAGAGAGACAAGATTCGCCAAGCTCAGAAAAACATCGTCAGGGAGACCTATGGGGCCTTTCTGCACAGGTGAGCCCTCCGGTCCCCACCTTCCCAGCCCTACGCCCCTCGCTCCCCCTCGCTGGGTCTCTGCTCTCCTTCCAAAAAACCACGGAGGGGCTGGGGGGGTGTGGGTGGCAGAGCCGGCGCCCTGGGCTTTGCTGGGGGGCAGACGGGGACGTCACTCAGGGGCGCCCTGTCAGGAGTGCCTTAGGTTGAGACCGACCTGGGGGGTTGCTAGCCTGCCTCCTGACCTCAGTGCCTGGTCAGGTATGGCAGCGTGCCCTTCACCAAGAACCCTGAGAAGTACATCAAGTACCGCGTGGAACAGGTGGGCGACATGATCGAGCGCCTCTTTGACACCTCTGCCTGAGCCTGCTACTGCTCCTGCCTGGCTCTGCCAGGTCAGCCATGTTATTGGACAGATAAACCAGTGTTAACTTGCCTCTGGGCCTGGTGAGTTTGACATCCTTGGGGCCAGGGGCCTTTTTCCACCCCTTCCCCAGCCCGGCGCCCTGTCCCCGAGCCCTGGGGTCCTGGTTTGCATTTCTTCCTGGAGCCCCCCAGACCACCACTCTCCCAGAACCCTGGGGTTCCCTCACACCTTAGGTTTCGTGACCCTGAGCCTCCCTGGGCCACATGCTAGCTTCCAGACAGGAAAGGACAAAGAAGAAAGACCAAGGCCTATAGCCACAGCTGCCTCATGTGTACAAGAGCAGGAGAGTGAATAGCCCACCGCTGGCCCAGTTCAGAGCTGGGGGTGGAGAACGCCCCCTTGAGCCCAGAAATGTCGGTAGGGCCCAGTGAGGGGCAGGCCACAGCGCAGCCAGAGGGCGTGGTGAAAAAACAAGCAGGACCGACCCACTCGTGGATTCGGTGCAGAAAACGTATTCCCCCTCACCCACAGCCTGGAAGTCGGGGTGTTCTGCCTCCTAGGCATCCCCCCGGGTGACTGGAGTGGGAGTGCCCTCTCTCCGTGGTCTCTAGGGTCCAGCACCCTGCAGAAGGAGTTCTGAGAAGCCTGGCTACCCAAAGTGGCCTGACTCAGGCCCCTGTCTCCTGGTGCCCAGGGCCTCCTGGCCCAAGGCCCAACAGCAGTAGTCACAGAAATGGGGGCCAGATGCCTGGTGCACAGTGGTGAGAAGTTCAGGAGCATGGTAGGGGTTGTGTGCAGGTGTCGGCCCCACCCGCATAGCACAGGAATGAGCAGCCAGTTCAGGGAAGACAGATGCTTGAGGTGCACGTGCACACATCACTTGGGTGATGACGGGTTTATTTCACGCTCTGCTTTCACGGCTATCAGAAGGGAGAACTCAGGGTGGCCTGGGATCCTCCGGGCTTCGGAGAAGAGTTGACCTCCTGCTTTCTCCAGAGACGCTGTCATGGCCCTTCCCCTGGGTGCGCAGCCCCGGGCCCTGAGCTGTCACAGCCTGGGCTGCCCGCCGTGGGGCACGGCCTTGCCGGGAGCTGGGTCAGACTTGCACGTCGCCCACATCCAGAGCCCGATGAAGAAAAACTGGCTGCACACTACACCCACCACATACACCAGGAAGAAGACGTGGTCAGCAGCCTCGGCCTGGCTCCTTCTCGACCCCTTCACTCTGGGGGCTCCTGGTGGGGGGAGATGCAGGAAAAGGCGGTGTTTTTCGGGGCTTGCCCAACATGCCGGCTCAGAGCAGAAGAGTGAACCCTGGGGGCCGTCCGCCTGTATCTGTGCCTTCCTTAGATTTACAGCTAATGAATATTGGGGTCTGGCCCATTCCAGGCCATCTTGAGCTGCAGAAACACCCTCGTAGACAAGCTCCTAGAGGCATAGGGCTATCTCCGGGAGTTTGAAGTCACCTGGGCCCTTACGGAAGCTACCTGGCTCCCTGCTCCAGACCCGCGTCTTCTAAGGACGGACACGGTGGAGCCCAGGGACCGTGGAGCTAGCAGAGTGAATGCGCGGAGCCGCCAGCCTAGTGACCCCCGCCTCAGCCCTGGGTGTGGGGCCTCCCGGCCCTGCCCTGTCACACCCACTCCTACCCTTATTCCTCCCTCTACCCCGTTCCAGGAAGGGGCTCCTGCCCACCTTCAGGATTTGGCTCTGAGTCCCCGTGACCGTGCTGCTCCGCTCTAGGGGTCGGGCTGGGGCCGCTCTTGGCCCTGAGGTCGCCCCGGGCCAGCAGCGCGGCCAGCAGCACGGTCTCCATGGTGCTGGCAAAGAGCAGCAGCAGCAGCACAGTGAAGTAGTAAACTGGGGGCAGGAGGGCGGGGTGGGCAGGTCAAGGCCAGGCCTGCACCTCTGCGCCCAGCGAGCTGAGCAGAGGCCCGCCTCAGCCCAGGGCCGGGGGAGGGGCGCGGGACTTACTGAGCAGTGGGTTGCAGGAGGAGGAGCTGGGCAGGGCCTGCACCAGGGAGGAGTGGAAGACCAGGTAGCCCAGCAGCAGAGTCACCTTGTAGGCAATGCGCTCGGTGGCCTGGAGGGGCAGTAGCCCCCCGCACATGTCAGCCAACAGCAGGGCCTCCCCGGGTACCAGCAGAGCTATGATGGCCTTCAGCGCTGTGTTCTGCAGGCGCAGCTGGTAGGAAGGAAGTTGGGGCTTTGGGG